CCCCGTGGAGTCCCAGGGACGGCTCTGGACCGGCCTCAGCCTCTGGCCCACGGTGTCCTCTCGGAGGCCCAGAGCCTGCAGCGCTGGCCCCGGGAGCTGCCGCCACAGGCCTTGTGCAATTCGGGGGTGGGTCTCTGGGCCCCCCGGAGTCGGTTCAATGTTTCTCAAGAGTCCTGATGCGCCGGGCCCGGGGCGGGGTGCTGGGGGTGCAGCGAGGGACAGTCTAAGCTGCTCCCGGGCTTACAGATGAACACCGCTTAGTCTCTCTAGCAAAAGCACTTGATGCCATGAAAGCGCATGCAGGTGCCTGGGGAGGTGACCCAGAGCCGAGGGCGGAAAGCTGAGAGTTGGGGACTGGGCAAGAAGGGGGCGGTGCCGGGCGGGAGAGCGTTCCAGGCAGAAGGAACAGCATATTCAGAGACCCTCTGGCAGAAGGAAAGGCAGGGCACTCAAGTCGCCAAAGGAAACCGTGCAGCTGGAGCCCAGCAGCAAGAGGATAGGGGAACAGGGGAGGGGAGGGGGCCACGAGGAGTTCCTGTGCCTTTAAGAAGGTGGCTCCAGATATGACACAGGAGAGAGGATATGTCCACCAGTGTGTGTGCTCCTCCCAGTTTCTCTCTAGCTCTCAGGAGCCTCGGCCCCTACTCCTGGAAGGGGCAGCTCTGTAGACCAGCCCTGCTGCCTGGACCAGAGGGGGGCCCAGGGGAACACATATGGGGGTAGTGCAGAGCCAACCCAGGTGGCCCTTGAGAACTGGATGGAGAGTCACGGAGACTGAAGGTGGCTGATGGTGGGCCCAGGTCAGGCGCAGCCAAGAGCATCAATGACACACAGCTGGAGGGAAAGGGTCCTGAGCGAGCAGTGCTGTGGGGCTGCCGAGAGAGGCAGAGGCCAGGGCCTCGGAGCCACCAGCAGCCTCACAACTGGCCATCGCTCACCTCCCACCTTCTTTTCCCGGAGCCGGGTCACTCCCGGGCCTGTGGCTCTCCACTCCACCCCCACCACCCTCCCTCAGGGCCCCTTGAGAGCAGGTAGTGGGTGTTATTGGTGTAATCGATTGTCTCCGGGTCCTGGAGCAGAGGAGGTGTAAGTAGATGGATGTCTGAAGGATGGAGGGATGAATGAGCAAAGAAATGGCCCCCAGTCTCCTCTCCTGAGCTGCGTGGAGCCCCTCTGGCCTTCCCCACTGGCTGCCCCTGTGACCTTGTGGAGCCAGGCCGCTGCAGGGCAGGGAGACCTGGGTGTCATGAAGCAGGGCAGCCGGGAGCTGCCAAGCAGGCAGGCAGGTGCCCACGGTGCCCACTCCCTCCAGCTTGGCTCCGGCCTGCTTCCTCGGGACACAAACAGGTCTGACGAGTTCGTCCGAGGCAGAGCCCTTGATTTCCAGGAAAGCCACCCTTTTAGAGAGCAGAGGGAGCCAGGCCGGTGGAGGGAGGGCTTTTTCGGAAAACTCCCCCTCTCTGCCTCAGCCTCCCCGGCCCCTGCTCACTGATCTTCCCCTCATGTCCCGAGCCAGGGCTCCAGGCAGAGGGGACACCTCCCTCCCCACCTCCCCCTGAGGGAGCAAGGAACAAGGAAAGGGGCCCCATTGTTAAGACCCCAAACTCAGTCCCCGCCCCCATGTGCCACTGCACCGGGTGGCAGTGTGGGGTAGGGCTTATGGGTGCAGGCTTGGAGCCGGGCTGCCTGGATTCCACTCCCAGCTCTGCCTTGACCTTGGGCAAGCTCTGTGCCTCAGTTTCCTCCCTGTACTCACAGGGATGAGATGATGAAGAGCACACGCAGTCCAGAGCCTGCGGCCTGGCCCTTGGGATGCAGCGTTGTGGACATTCCTCCACCTGATCCTGACCTCCTCAACCCCTCCAGCCCTCAGTTCCCACCTCCCAGCCTAGCTGACCACCGACTCTGCCCGGCGCACCTCCTGCTCCAAGTGCTCAGAGTTGGCCCACGGCCTCTTCTCGTCCCACTAGCTGCTCTTCCTGCACAGGCTCGCCCAGGCCCCGCTCTCCATCCCATTCTAGCCGCTGCCTGCCAGAGCTGTAGGCACAGCATCCGGCTGCCTCCAGGACTGCGCCACCTCACGCTCAACAGGCCCCCAGCCGAACTCGGCCTCTCTCCCCAGAGCCTCTTCTCCTCCAAGTTCTCCTCCTCGGGGCACAGTGCCATCAGGCACCAAAGCCGAGTCCCCACGACTCTCCTCCGCGTTGGTCAGTCTCTACCCTACCTCTTGACCACGCCATCTTTTCTCTCTTTCTTTCCTTCTTTCTTTCCCTTTCCTTCTTTCTTTTCTTCCTTCTTTCCCTTCTATTGGGATATAACATAAATATAGTAAAGTGCATGAAGTTCATGAGTCCTAAGGGTGCAGCTCTATCATCTTTCATATATGCTTACGCCTGGGTACCACCACCCAGATCCAGACATGGAGCATTTCCAGCTCCCATGTTTCTCTTATGGCCCTCCCCTACCGCAGAAGTAACTATTATTCTGCCTTCTTCATAAATTAGTTTTGCCTGGTTTTGAACTCCACATAACTGGAATCACTTACACCCTTAGACACAGAGACCAGCGGACTAGAAATGAAAGTCTAGAAATAAACCCATACATCTACAATCAACTGACTTTCAAAAAGGATGCCAAGACCATTCAGTGGAGGAAGATAGTCTTATCAACACATGATGCTGGAAGCACTGGATATTTACAGGCAAAGAATGACATTGGATCCCTACCCCACACCGTATACAAAAAACTAACTCAAGATGGCTCCAAGTCCTAAATGTGAAAGCTAAAACTACGAAACTCTTAGAAGAAAACACAGGCTTAAAAAAACACTATCAAGAAAGTGAACAGACAACCTACAGAATGGGGGAAAATATTTGCAAATCGTATATCTAAAAAGAGTCCAGTATCTAGATCATATAAAGAACTTACAACTCGACAACAAAAAGACAAATAACCCAATTTAAAAGTGGGCAAAAGACCTGAATAAACATTTCTCCAAAGAAGACATACAAATAGCCAATAAGGACATGACAGGGTGCTCAATGTCATAATCACTAGGGAAATGCAAAACAAACCCAACATGAGATCCCACTTCACATGTCTTGGAAGGCCATAATAAAGAAAAATATAACAGAAAATAGCAAGTGTTGGTGAGGAGCCGAAGACATTGGAACCCTTGAACGTTGCTGGGGGGCATGTAAAATGGTGTAGTCACTTTGAAAAGATGCTTTGAAAAGTAGTTTACTAATTCCTCAAAAAGTTAAACATAGAGTTACTGTGTGACCCAGTCGTTCCACTGCCAGGTATGTGCCCAAGAGAATCGAAAACATGTTCTCGCAAAATTGCACGTGAATGTTCATAGCAGTGTCATTCATAATAGCCAAAAATAGGAGCATCCCCAATGACCATCGAGAGATGAATGGATAAATGAAATGTGGTGTAGCCACACAATGGAATATTATTCAGCTATTTAAAAGAAATAAGAACTATGACACAGACGAACGGTGAAATATTATGCTAAGAAGCCAGACACGAAAGGCCATATGTTATATGATTCCATGTCTATGAAATGTCTGGAACACGCAAATCCATAGAGACGGAAAGTAGATTAGTGGTTGCTTAGGGCTGGGGAGGAGAGAGCTGGGGAGAGCCTGCTAATGGATTTCTTTTGGGGTTGATAAAAATGTTCCGGATATAGATAGTGGTGATGGTTGCACAACCCTGTGAATGTACTAAAAGCCACTGCATTGGATTCTTTAAAATGGTGAATTTTATGGGATGTGAATTATATCTCAATAAGGAGGTTTTCTAGAAGTATGCTCTCTTATGCGTCTCTTCTTCTGTGCGATGTCGTGTGTGCGAGCAACACCATGTATGGGTGTGTCCAGGTTTCTTCTTATTGCTGTGTAGTGTCCCAACGCACGAACGTACTGTTCTTTCTTTATCAGCTCTCCTCTTGATGGGCAGTTGTCTTGTTTCCAGTTTGGACTCATAAATCGGTCCGTTCTTACACAAGTCTTTGGAAGGGTAGATGACGGACATTTCTGGTGGAACAGACCTATCAGTGGAACAGATGGGTCAAGTCAGGCATGTATTTTAACTTTAGTAGGCACTGTCAAAGATTTTTCCAAAGTGGATGACCACGTTTACACTCCTGCCACCAAAATCTAAGAGTGCTGTTTGTTCCACATCCTCACCAACACTTGGTATTGTCAGCCTTTTTCGTCTTAGCCATTCTGCCGGGTGTGCACCTTCTGGAAGTTTCCATTTGCATTTTCCTTGTGAGGAATGAGGTTGGGCATCTTTTCAGGTCTTTATTGGCCATGTGAATATCCTCTTTGTGTTTACCTGATCTTTCTTTTGGTTGTCTTTCCTTTATTGAGGTGTAGGGTTTTAAAAACCATATCTGGATGTAAAATCTCCGTCAAGACCTATCGTTGCCAATATCTTCTCCAGCCCTACCCGTTTTCTTGTCACGTTCTTACTGGTGTCTTGCTAAGCGGCAGGTCTTAATTTTGATGAAGTTCAATTCACTCCCTTTTTATTTTACGGCTGGAGCTCCATGTGTCCTCTTTGAGAAACCTTTGCCCACTCCTCAAACATCCCTGGAAGCCCCCCCCTCCTCGCCACCTGCTTTGCCTCTGCCAGGTCTCTCCTGGGCCGCTCCCTCCTCCCCCCACTGCACCTCCCTCCTCCCTGACTCTTGCCCTCCTCCCGTCTCCATCTTCCCTCCCAGGGCCAGGGCTGGCTCATCCCCGCGTCCCCGGGCCTGGCACCAGGTCTGGCCCGCATTAGATGCTCAATAAAAGCTTCATAAATGAAGGCAGTGTCCTGGGGCCCAGCTGGGGATCATTAAAACTGTCAATTGGTTCTAAACACCAGCTCATCAGGAACCTTTGAGCAAAGCCAGGGAAGTAAAAAGTTTTGGAAAAACCAACGACATAGGAATGTTTCGCTTTCTCCCCAACCGGAGCATTCATCACGAAAACCCAGACCTCGTTAGCATTATTTATTCTTGCTTCGCCCCGACCCCCGGGGCGCGGGGAGCGGGGGCCCCACCCCCATGTCTGCTGCCTCTGAATGTGGCAGGGGTCCCCGGTCGCCTCCTAGTCCTTCTCTTCGCCGTGCGTGATGACGTAGCACAGGTTCCTGTAGTCCAGGTTGCCGCTCACATCTGGTGGGAAAGCCGCAAACATCTGCTTGACCTGGGGAAGGAGCAGGGAGTCAGCCTGGACCAGGTCGGAGTGGGCAGCAGGACAGGGTGTCAGGAAGGACATTTTTCCCCTCTGTGCAGATGAAGGCATTAGGTTGGAGGGCGCAGAGGCCAGGCCGGCAGGCCGGGGTCCCACAGCCACCCCCACCCATCCGTGTTCTCATCCAAGTTGTCGAGGGGGACGTCACCTCAGCATCTAAAGAAGAGTGACGGGGGTTGGGGGGACGAGAAGGGCAGGGCTGCGCCTCCCAGGAAGACCCTCCACAGCGCTGGGCTGCGCCCCCAGAAGCCAGCCCTCACCTCCTCCTCGCTGAACCGGTCTGCCTGCGTCATGAGCTTCTCTTTGATGCTGCTCAAAGGAGAGAAACGGTCATGCTCAGGGAAAGAGCACCTACGTGGACACGTGGCTGCCAGGGGTGAGGAGGGCAGGCAGGGGTGGGGGACCTGGCCCAGGAGGACAGCAACCTGAGCCTGGCCCTCCGGCCCCCAGATGGCCATGTGGCCTCAGGCGGACACTTCTGCTCTCAGCCTCAGTTTCCTCCTTTGTGACATGGACTCTTCTCCCAGCATCAGGTACAGACCAAATGAAATGACCTCAGGACTCCAACACGACCTTGGGGCCACTCTGATTTCCCATCATACACTAATGATCAGCCTCCCGGTCCCCGAGGGGAGGTCTTTGCTTCAGTTCTGGAAGCACCGCTTTCTTAGCCTGTGATTTTCTCTGACGTCTGTGCGTGTTTTACGGTCAGCAAGATGCTCACTCAGCCGAGGGGTGGGAAGGTGCACTCAGGTCGGTGTCCTCCTGGGCCTGCTCTCACTTGCTCCCCACAGCCCTGGGAAGTGAGTACTAGTACCCTCTTTTACAGAGAGGGAAACTGAGGCTGGGGAAGCGTAATGATCTGCAGTGGCGGGGGGCGGCCTGTCCTCTGGGCGGTCCAGAAGAGCAGCTGCCCTCAGGGGCCAGAGCTGCCTGGTCCTGGAGGAGCTGCCGGAGGCGGGGAGGATGCTGCATTCGAGGCTGCGTGGGAGGGACTGATGCCCCCAGGAGCTCGGCTGGCCCTGCAGGGTTCCCAAGGGATTGCAGTGGGCGGCGATGGGATCCGAGGGCTGAGCCGGGCCCTGTGTACCCAGAGTGTCCCGTGGCGCCGGCGGTGGCGGGCCCGCTAAGGATGGATGCTCATTTTCCATTATTTATGTTACTGCAGCACAGTCACAGTTTCCAACTCTCCAAGCTGGAGACTTTTCACAAGACTCTGTTTCAACCAGAGCCTCCTCTGTGGCCTGCCTGGCCGGCAGCCACGTCTCTCAGGTCCCGTATCCCGGGGGCAGTGCCTTCGCTTCCCAAATTGGGTCCCCACAGGGTTCCTCCCAGCCCTGGCCTTGTGCTAGTGGGAGAGAAGGTGGGTGGCAGGAGAGGGGCTGGTCCAGGCCACTCCAGGGGGTGCCCCCCTTGCCTCCCACCCCGGGTCCCCAAGATGGGAGTGGGAGCCATGGCCCCCGAGGGAGGGGTGAAGTAGAGGGCTGCAGCCGGGAGAAACCCTGAGACTCCCTCCCTACCCCTGGGGAGAGTGTGACTCACAACTTTGGGGTCAGGAGATGGTGAGAACGAACGTCCGAGAGACAAGACAGACACTCCGTGTGTCCCCCCACCGCGCCTGCCCCTCATAACCCACCTCCAGTGCGTGATGGTTCTAAGAGTCAGCAAGGCCAGCCCCGAAGCCGAGGCCTGAGGCATCAGAACGACTGGTCAGGAAGCCTGTGATGGCGAGGAAATCCTGCCTGCCCGGGGCCACCGACAGGCCCAGCGAGACCTTAGAGGCTCTGAGTGGACTGCCTGGAGACAGCTCAGAGGTCAGCCCAGAGTCCGGGCACCTGGGGAGGCTGCCACTGCCCTGCCTGCCCCTGCCTGCCACCTGTGGCTCTCTGCCTTGAGCTCCCACTGGCGTGAGATTCTCAGGCATGGCGGGCATCAGGGGCCCCACCCCAATAACGCCAGCCCAGTGGCCTGCCGGACAGCTGGCTGCAGCCACCTCACTCTCTGTGCATCCCTGGCTGAGCTGGTGCCTCCATCCGGGCATCCACTCAGACTCCAGCTAACATCTGGCCCAACTTTCTCCCCAGAACCCTGGATCCCATGGGTGCTGGCCCCTGGGGCTCCACTTATCTGACCACTCCCCTCCATCGCTATGGACACGGCCCTTGTGGAGGCTGCAAACTTCTCTCCTCCTCCAGGCTGGCCTCCATGTTGCCCCTGCCTAACTCTTTCTTGGGTTCTCCATGTCCCCAGGGCAGACCCTGAGTCTAGAGCCACTCCACACAGGCCCTGTCTGCTCTCTGTGCTCAGTGTCCCCCACCCATGTCCGTCCACGCCCTCCAGCCACAGCCCAACCCTGCTCCCCAACCCCACACATGCCAAGCCCTGGCCCTTCACTCACTAAGTTCCCACATCTAGAATGTTCTCTGCCCCAGCCCAGGCAACCCTTAGTCGTCCTTCAAGGCCCACCTCTGCCCCCACCCCCACTCTCGCCCCTGGGAAGCCCGGCCCTGGTGACCCCACTCTCCCTGTCCGCTTCCACACAGAGATGGAGATACTGAGGCCCAGAGAGGGGAAGGGACGTCAAGTGATGGCTGAGCTGGGCGGGGCAGCAGCCTCCTGGCTCCTGGCCCGATGCTGCCCGAGCCCACTGAGTTCTGGGCGGGAGAGGAGGCTGGGCTGCCACCCACCCTGACCCCACCCGGGCTCATTATCACCTGAGACTTTGGGGAAAGAAAAACCAAAACAGAGGGCAGGGGGAACTTACAAATCAGCCTTGACAAAACCTTTCCCCTCAGTGTCGAACACCTTGAAGGCGTGGAGAATGGTCTCCTCTGGGTCCGTGCCTGGAAGCAGCACACACAAGGCAGGGAGAGCGCCAGGATGAAAAGGACAGACAGGGGCGGGTCCCATGGCCCCTGCAGAGGGCAATGGGTCCGGGAGCTTCCTCCCCAACTTCCACTCCACAGTGAGGGCCAAGTCCACTTGAAGGTTTCAGAGAAACAAGGAATAGCAGTAATAGCCAAGGGCGCTGCGTATAGTTATGAACAACCTGCACAGCTGTCCATGGCGACCCTGACTGAGCACTCACTACGTGCTTAAGCCTCCTGATGACAGGTCTAATTTTACAGAAACTGAGGCTCAGAGAGGTTAAGTGACTTGTCCAAGTTCTCACAGCCGATGCTGCTGTGTGATTAGTGGGGCGGGAGGGTGGCCACTCTGGGGCTCTCTCATTACCCAAGATGTGCACGAGAGGCTGTGGGTGGAGGAGAAAGAGTGTCACAGTTAGGGGCCAAAGACTGGGGCTCGGGCAGGGCATTGGAGGGGTCTGCAAGGTTGTCTGGGCCAGAGGTGGGGCGGGTGGGCCAGCAGGCTGCGGGGTCGGGGCCACGGGTAGGGGCCCCGCAGCCAGAGCAATTCTGGTTTCATCACCTTCACAGCGTGAGCTTCAGGAAAGATGTCGTTAGAAGAAATGGTTCTACTTCCACAAGGGGACTGAATACCCAGCGCCCTGGTTGTAGAGATGGGGAAACTGAGGCCCAGAGAGAGGAAGGGTCTCACCCAAGGCCTCACAGACTGTGTGAATGACAGCAAGTGACCTGGTGCTCTTTCCCCTCTGTCACACGGCCCCCCTGCTCACTGTGGACCAGGGGATGCCCCCTTCCTTCTTCAAGGTCCAGCTGCGTCACTGGTGAAGTGGAGACAACAGCAGTGTTGGCTGTCCACCCCCCAGGTAAGAAAAGACAACGGATCGTGGACGGTAAAGGTCCTGACAAACAGTGGTCGGTCATGGCCGCAAACACAGCTGAGGACTCTGAGCCAAGCTCCAGCCTGCAACTTCGCCGTTTTCTCCCACGGAACCCCCAGAAGCGCCCATGTGGTGGGTATTGATGTCCCCAGTTTATCAAAGAGGAAACTGAGGCTCAGAGGGGCTGTGTGACTCGCCTGAGGTCCCCACTAATAAGGAGAGGAAGGATTTGAAGCCCCCTGCTTGTTCTTCCGCTATATGTGCCTGCCCATCAGACTGGGTCAGGGCCAGCTGAGCCTCCCCAACCAGGCAGGATTGGGGCCAGCTGTGTCTCCCCCATCAGACTGGGAGCTCATCCAGGACAGGATGGTGTCTGAATCACTCTGCATCTCCGAGGCTGGCCCAGAGTGATGGAGCCTGGCACTGACCTGGGAGCCGGAGGGCAGAGCTGTGGGCATGATCTGGGCAGAGCATTGGGGAGCCAGTATGCCCGACCTACAGGCTCAGCCAAGGGGCCAGCAGGGGCAGAGCTCCAGGCCCGGGGGTGGGGGGGGGAAGGGGGGTGGGGGGCTGGCCAAGGGATTATTGGTGGGGGGTGCTGGTAGGGGTTTTGGCCTCCCGGGGTCTTTGAAGGGGCCTCACTGCTGGGGCAGGCTGGCTCCAGCCCGCCTTCCTGAGGACCAGCTCCACGTGGACCAGCTGTCCCACGCCCAGGCCTGGTGGTCCTGGTCCCCGTCCCCCCTCCCAGAGAGGGCCTCTGCTCTGCAGCCTTCGAAGCCCATCAGACAGGCTACAGAGCGGCTGCTCCCAGCTCCCTGTTGGGAATCTCATGACAAAGTGTCCTCGTCCCAATTAGAGGGATGAGGCGGCGCCTGCCCCAGCCCCCGGCTCCTGTCCCCACCGCCGGCAGAGCATGCAGGCTCAGCCGAGTTCGCGTGACAGGCTCAGCTGGAGCCTCAGTCCCTGCAAAAATGAGAAAAAGCTGCAGGCCTGCAGGCCCCGCCTGGCCCAGGGTCACATCTCCTCGCTCAGCCACAGACTCCGGCCCCCCTTTAAAGTCACCGGCTGGAGCACGCATGTCTGTCCCCGGGAGTGTACCCCTGGGCTTCTGAGCTCTTCGAGGAGGTAGCCATGGTCCTGGGAATAACCCCTAACAGCTGCCCGGGCGGGGGGCCCAGTGGCACTCCTGGTCAGGCGGAGAGCACCCGGCTCCCAGCCCGCCCCTCTCGGGCCCTCAGTTTCCTCATCTCTGACACGGACGGTGGGCTGCTTGATCATAGGTCCGTTGCTGGCCTCCCTCTGCCTCTAGGATCGGCCAGGACGGGGTGTGTGAGGCTGTTGCACTGTCCAGCAGGTCACGACCCTGAGAAGCTTGTGATTTTTCACCAAATAAAATCTGATATTAGGCAGGACACCACTTGACATAGGTCAAATGGTGGCCCCCAAAAGATACGTCCACGTCCTCATCCCCGGAACCTGTGCATCCCCCTTACTTGGAGACAGGGCCTTTGCACATGTAAGGAAAGGATCTGGAGATGGGGGGATCCCCCTGACTATGCAGGTGGCCCCTAAATCCAATGACAAGCATCCTTATTAGAGTGTGGCAGAGGGAGACAGACAGAAAGGGGGTGTGGACCACGATGATGGGAGTGATGCAGCGGCCAGTAGCTGGAAGAGGCGAAGAACAGATTATGCCCTGGAGCCTCTGGCAGATTTGGGACTTCTGGACTCCAGAAGTGGGAAAATACATTGCGGGTTTTTTGAGCCATCAAATCTGTAGTCATTTGTCACAGCGGCCTTGGGAAATGAACACAACCCCCATCTTACAGACAGAAAAACTGGGGTGCAAAGGGAAAACAAGCCTTGCCCAAGGTCACCCGGGGGTCGGTGGGATGCCAGGTCTGGAACCCACATCTAGCTGAGGCCGAGGGAGGGCATCAGGCAGGGGCAGCCTGGGGCAGAGTGGCGACAAGGCCCACCTCCCAGGGCAGCCGCAGCCCAGGCTGGCCCCTCACTCTGACCGTGGAACCCTCGAGCCCAGGGGGAGGGGAGAGCTCCCCAGGGCCCGGAGAGAAAGGGACAGAGCTGTCCTGACCCCGCCCCCATCCTGCATCCCCAGCCTGATGCTGTGTCTCAGGAGGTACAGTGGTTAGAGCCAGGAATCGGGGTTTGGGGGCCATCCCTGTCACTCTGTTGCTGGAGCACCTGGGGCAGGTGTGGCAACCCCTCTGAGCCCGAGGCTCCTCGCTTGTGAATGAGGCCCCCCAGTCCTTTCCCTGGAGGCTGTGTGTATAACCCGTCCTGCACTGGAGTCAGCCATGGTAACTTCTAGAACCTCCTTCCAGGTACCCCTCCTCCCATCGGCAGTGGGTGGTGAGGCAGATCATGGAAGACGAACCCGGGGCCAGGGAGGTGGGGCTGGGGCATCGTCCTGATGGTGGGCAAAGGGCTTCCACACAAATCTTCCCGCTGGGCCCCTCACAGCCCCAGAAGGTGGAAGTTCCTATAGTTACTCCCCTCTCTGGGGTAGAGGGAAACTGAGGCAGGGCCCAGGGAGGTGTGTGCACCTGGGGGCTGGTGTCTGGGGGAGACACCACGCTCCCAGCTGTGATGGGCATCTCTGGGGGACTCGTCTGCACACGGGGCCCCACTGGCCCCTCTCGCTTGCCCAGCCCCTCCCCAGGGCCTCCTGGGGCCTCACTCACCCTTCAGTTTCTCCCCAAACATGGTCAGGAAGACAGTGAAGTTGATGGGCCCGGGGGCTTCCTTCACCATGGCATCCAGCTCCTCGTTCTTCACATTGATGCGGCCTGGGGGAGGAGAGAGGCGGGGACATCCAGGAGCACAACAAGGGTCAGCAGGGTCCTGCCTGCAGGCAGCCCGAGAGAGGGGAGCTCGGACCACAGAGCATCCAGGAGAGTCTCCCAGCTCCACGGCCACCCCTACTCCCACTCCCACTGGGCCGGGGCCCTGCCCACCTGCTGGGGACTTTGGAAGGTGGCTGCTCAGTCTCCCCACAAAGGAGAGCAAGGTGGTTGTTATCGCTATTTTACAGATGGGGAAACTGAGGCCCAAAGAAGCAGCAGCTGAGGTGCACAGAGGCTGGAAGGCCCGGGCCGCAGGGGCTCCTGTGCCCCAGGAGGGGGTCAGCTGGCTGCCTGGAGGTGGGGACTGTGGGATTCGTCATGGTCCCAGCGGACAGCAGACTTCCAGGGGCCCACAGGTCAGTCCAGACGTGACTTGGTTGTGCCCCCTTACCCCCGCCTCACTCCCACCGCCACCCCATCCACGCCATAAGGCCCCTCCCTGGCCTTCATGCCAGAGCCCGCCAGGCAGCTGAAGCCACTACCCTGGAGCTCTGTGGACACCTCCAGGCTCCTCCCTCCCCCGCCCCCAGCGTCTCCCCCTGCTCTCTTGACCCCTCATCCCACCCAGCCCTCCCACGCCGCAGGCCTTTGCACAGGCCATTCCTGCCCCTGCAACGCCCTCCCCTTTCCCTGAGTCATCCTCTGACACCCAGCAGCCCTCCCAGGCAGCGGCCGTCCCTTTCCTGCGCCCCCATGGCTCATGAGCCCCTCACCACCCCCCATGTCTACTGCCCTGGCCTGCCCCCAGCCTCCCACTCTTGCTGGAAGGCCTGGGCTCAGCTCCACCCCAAGCCCCAAGCCTCCCCAGCTGCTGGTCACCCACCCAGGGCAGCAAAGGTGTCCCTCAGGTCCTCTTTGTCGATGAAGCCATCCCGGTTCTGGTCCATGATGGTGAAGGCCTGGCCGAGACACGGGCACTGAGCGGCCGCCCACCCAAGCCTGGCCCCAGGCCCCAGAAACCGCGCCCACCCAAGGGGCCGTTCTCCTGTGACCTGCCACCTGGGTTAACAGTGCAGCCCCCTGGGGCCACCCGGGTACCCCGCCTGGTGTGATAGCAGCGTGAGAGCCCTGGCCGACCTGCCCTGAGCTCCTACTGGGCACTGGAATGCAGCTCGGGCTTCATGCCCATCCCTCATGTCCGGCTCCCAGCAGCCCCGTTTTACAGAGCGGGAAACTGAGGCGCAGAGAAAGGAAGGACTTGCTCGAGGTCACACAGCAAGCAAAGGCTCTGTAGAAAGGGTCAGGGCTGCCAGAGGGCAGCAGCCACCCTACTCCAGCAGGTCCAGAGGTGCAGCGTGGCGCCCCTCAGAACAGTGACAGCATCGCCCCCAGGGACTGAGGGCTGACCCCACGCCTCGTGGGCTCCTGGGTGTTTTCCATGCAAGACATTAATCCCCCCGAGGGCCCCGGGGGCACTGACCTCTTTAAACTCCTGGATCTGGGATTGGTCGAACATGGAGAAGACATTGGAGCTGGCTGCGCCTTCTGCTCTCTTCCGGGCTCTTCTGGGTGCCTGTGAGGTGCCAGGGGAGGCCTTGCAGAAGCCCCCTCCATGGGAGGGCAGCCATCCACCCCCCAGGCCTCACCTCCCCCAGTGTCACCATCCTGAGTGACGCTGCCCTCCCTCAGGGCCCGAGACAGACAGACAAGGCTCCTCAGGAAGCCTCGCAGATAAGCGGGAGGGTTTCCCAGCCCCCCCAAGGGGCCGGACAGCTGCTTCCTGACCTGGGCCCCGGGGCTCCGGAAGGCGGGTGGTCTGCGCCCAGGCTGTGGAGCAGAGAGGGGCATCTTTTCTACCATCGGACCCTCCATGGGGCCCCCTCCTCTCCTGCCACCCTCCCAGTGTTCTCAGCATAGCACCTGGGCCCTCAGGCCCGTGAGCTCTGTCCTTTGTCCTTCTCCCAGAGTGCCCACCCCCACCCACCTAGGTGCCCACCTCTGCCCCAAACCCACTTGGAGCCTCCTTCTCTCCCAAGGTCTGCCTCCCTGGAATGCCTTCCCTGCCTTCCATCTGGAAGAATCCACATCCTGCAGGCTCAGCTCCTCTGCCACCTCCTCTGAGAAGCCTTCCCTGACTCCCAGGCCAGCTTAGAGCTCCTCCCCACCCCACGCCCCTTCCAACCGGTCTGGGGCAGCCGTGCCATACTGCCCTCTATGTCTCCCTGTGTCTGTCCCATCTCTGGGCTCTCCTGCCTGCTGCCCCTACCCCGGGGCCTGGCTCAGAGTGGGGCTGGGTTTGGAAACAGCCGTCCAGAGCTCAGCAGGTAAAACAGGTGACCACCCGCGTGGACTGATTCCAGGCTCTCTGGCCAGCCTCCCACCAAATGTTTCTTTCAGGATGTCACCGTGCCGAGGAGTCCACTGTTGGGCATTTACTGAAAGCTCTCGGTCCCCAAGACCCCCGAGGGACCTTCCACTCAGCAGCCATCACTAGGGCCGCTGTGCAAGGAGCCCCAGAATTGGCTCAGAGGGGTGGAAAAGACAGGGTCCCCACTCCCGGACCCCCACCCCCAGCTCCTGCCTCCATCTCAGCCTGCACCAGCCTCTCTGCCAAGCCCCTGTCTACCGCACCCCAGAGCACGGGCCTCCCCTGTCCCCCCAGTGCCTGTGTGGTCTCCCCTCCCCACAGTTCATCCTTGTCCCCCAACCCCAGCTTCCCCCACCCCCACACTCGCCCCCACTTCCCTCCGGCTCCCGGGCTCATTTCAAGAGCGACAGCGCCCGGCTGACTTATAATTAGCTTTTACTGGGTCCTTTGTCTCCACTAATCCTTTGAAAGGGGCTGGCAGGGCAGCCGGGACGTTATGATGCTGTAAAACCTCTGTAATATTTATAAATCCCTTCAGACATCATAAAGAAAGGAACCTCCCCGCGGAGTTCATCTCGCATAATTACATATACATTTCCCTCTGATTAATAAAAACAATCGCTTCCCTTCTGCCCTTTCTCTCCGCAGACCTGCCCTCAGCCTCCATGTCCCCACCCCTGCCTCGACCCAGCCTTTCATGTCCATCTCGTGAACCGTCACCCTACTGTGTGCCAGGCCCTGTTCCAGAAACCTGCAAGGGAGGAAAGTGTTTTCTCTGACTGCGCAGAGGGAATCTGGGGCTCAAGGCCCCGGCCGGGCGTCGGATCTCCCAGACGGGACCCTTTCCAGCCCAGCTGGCTTGAAAATTCCCTTTTATAAAGTGTCCCTAAGAAATAAAACTCCCCCAAAAGGAGCACCTCAGGGCAGAGGGGGTCACCCCGACCCGAGAGCTAATCCTTGCTTTCCTGCTCACAGCCTCTGTGACGTTAAGAAACTCAGTTGCCTGGTCTGAGCCTCAGTTTACCCATTTATAAACCAAGACAATGCCTACCTCAAAGCATCAGGACATTTATTAGGGACCTGCCACCTCCAGCCAGGCCCTATGCCCAGTCTCGGGGACCCAGGGCTGAATCAGGCCCCATCTTTGTCCCCAAGGAGCTCACGGTCCAGCTGGGAGTCACACGGTCAGTAGAGGAAGATAGAGGGAGGGGCAAGGGCTGAGAACACAAAGAAACCCCTCTGCCACTGGGGCACTCCGGGCAGACTTCCTGGAGGAGGTGGCTTCTGAGCTGAGGCTTGACACTGAGTCAGAGTTCTCAGGCCAAGTGGCACTGATGAGGGCGAGGGCGTGTGAGACAGAGGCAGGACAGAGCAGGCTGTTAAGAGCCTGCAGGAAGACCCACACGTCTGGAGCCCAGGGGCGAGGGGAGGAAGCAGGGCGGGCCCCAGGCCGGGCTCAGTGGGAACCATGCTGTCATGAACACCAACCCCAATCCCCACAGGAACCAGGGGATGACACCAAGAGGGTAGAAAAGGTCAGGATATCAGGTCAAGGTCAAGGATGCCAGTGAGAGGAGCGAGGTCAAGGTCAGAGTGAGTTCAGGCAATGAGGTGAAGGTCGGAATCACAAACCAAGTAAGTCCACGGGGTGAGGTCAGAGTTGAGGAGTGAGGTCAGGGGCAGGAGGCAGGGTGGCCCCAGCCTACCATGGTCTGGAGGGCTCCCTCGCGACGCAGCAGGGCTGGCGGAGCTCGGGGACAGCCCTTTAAATAGTGCTCCAGTCCGGACAAGAGTTTGGAAGGTGACAAAGGACAGGATGGGGGCTTCCCTGCCAGGCACCTGTCTGGGGCCGTTCTGAGTGGGTGGGGCTGTGGGATCCAGAGAGACGCTCCAAGCCACCAGGATCTCCACCAGGCCCAGGCCAACCGGATCCCGGTAGCCAGGGACAGAGGCCCAGGACGGGGCTCCCAGCCGAGGCCTCAGGGTAAGTTGAGGCCTGAAACCATCTGGGAAGACTTGGCTATGAGCCGTGCAGGTCAGGAGAGCTCCCACGGCAGGGCCACCCATGCCAGCTGGGAAACTCAAGCTGCGACATGTGACGGGGCGGGGCGCCATCCTCCAGAAGGCTCAGTCCTCTCCTATGAAAAGTGGGGGGCACATGACCCCTCTGGTCAGCTCGTGGAGAGGGGTTCAACACCAACCTGGTCCTCAGGGGCCCCTCAACCATAGGACTACTGCTCTGTGGTCATCAGTGCCATCCTTACCCACCAGCCCGGGCCCCCTGGGGACGTTGGCAATGCCAGGGAGTTGAAAAAGCAAAGAGACAAAAGAACAATGGAGGTGACCCTGATGAGGGACCAGATCCCCATTCCACTCTGGCCACACACACATATCCGGACATGGCCTGTCCCCACCAGGCCTGGCCCAGCCCAAGAATTCTCCAGGCCACGTGCCAGGCCGAGCCCACACCTGCCCCTGGCAGGCCCCGAGTGTGGCCGACACAGCTCAGCTGCCCCGTCCGTCCAGCCGAGTCGCCCCCGCCCGGGGCCCACCACGTCTGATGGGCTGCCAGGGCCGGCAGTGCTGGGCTCAGGCGGCGAGTCCACCCGTCCCCAGACGCAGGACAGCTTAACTGTCCCCGGAGCTGGCCCCAGGCCTCCGGGCCCCGGTACGGCTGATCCCTGCCTGGGGGCGGGAATGCGATGATGAGAAGAGCAGCAAACGTTTATAAGACACAGGAAGTCAGGCCGTGTACTAAAACGTGTCCTCACTTTCAATCCTTACCCCGTTTTCTGGGGAGGGAAACTGAGGCACACACTGGTTAAGTCACTCACCCAAGTCTGATATGTGGTGGTGCCAGGGTGAAAGCCCCTCTTGCTAGTGGCTCCAGAACAAAGCTTCTAGAAGGTTCTGCCCATCCAAATGCCCCCCTTCCATAGTAGCCGTCCCTGACTAGCTGACTCTGACCTCCTGAACCTGTGATAGAGCCCTCTGCCCTGAGCTGGGCCAGCCCCTGCCGTGTTGTCCCCCACAGGGACCAACCACGTACTCCAGAGGTGCACAGCAGGCCTGGGTGAAGGGGACTAGACAGGCGGGCAGGGGCCCTGGGTTCCAGCCCTGGCCCCTCCTCCACCTGCTGTGGGAGACGGGCCACGTGGGTGAGGCAGGTGCCTGCCCCTTCCTGGGCCTGGCTTCTGGCCCGGTCCGTGAGCCTGGCCTTGGGGCCTCCTGCTCTGGGCTTGCTGAGCAGGGAGACACGCCACCCAGGACAATAACACCTCCTTCCTGCTGGCCACAGGCCTCTCCATGTGGGACTGGATGCCCCAAGGCTCCTGTCTCCAGGGATCACCGCCCAGGACCACGGAGGGCTCCTGAGGGCCAGGACAGTCCTGAGCGAGCAGTGAGCCGGCCAGCCCGCCCGGGGAGGGACATGCCAGAGGGGTTCATGGTGAGACTTGAGTTAGTCACCACCGAGCTTACAAGCGCTTAGCAAATTAGTCCCCCGCTTTCCTTCCCTGGCCGCCTTCTCCTCGGGATTACGAAAGCAGGAAGAGCGAGTCAGAAGTCTGGCGGGGACCATGGAACCCCCGGGAGAGATGGTTGGGAAACATTTGTCCCCGGGGCTTGGGCTGTGCGGGGCGTGGGGAGGATGCGATGGCCCTGGGGGCAGCGGGGGGCTCGGAGCTCTACCCTCGCCGTGGGACCCTCGCTCAGCAGCGTACAGACCCTCAGTTTTCTCCCTCTGAGAAACAGTGCCAGCAGCCCAGCCCCTCCGAAGCTGCCGTCGGGCAGCCCAGCACCGTGGCAGGAGCCCCAGGCGGTCAACAGCCCGAGTTGGGAGGGCAGACCCCCAGCAAGGAGGGCGTCCTCGGCAAAACTCACAGCCTCTCCAAGCTGCCCTCCCTTGTCAGCCGGAAGGGGCACGGGGAGGCCGGGTCACAATTTTGACTCGAGTGACCACAGGCGATGACCAGTTCTTGGGGTCAGAGAGAGCCCCAGGGTCTGTGCTCCCAGCCAGGGGGCCCCTGGGAGCAAGGAGCCTCGGAACTGGAATTCCGAGTCAGCCGGGGTGAGTCAGAGGAGTACTTAGCCCCTTGTGATGAGCACCCACTTCCTAGAGGGCGACCTGAGGTCTTGGGGGTGACCAAACCTGGAAGGCAGCTTGAAAGAGACCTTAGGACAGACCACACGGGAGCAAGCCAGGGAAGGTGACTTCACCCCTAGCCTCTAACTCCTCACGGGCAGCAGGCGGTCACCTGCCTCCCCGACGGCAGCCCGCCAGCCGCCCCCTTGACC